TTTTTTTCAGATGATCTAAAGCAACGATTCTCAACCTGTGGGTCGCGACCCCTTTGACGGTCGAACGACCCTTTCACAGGAGTCGCCTAAGACCATCCTACATATCAGATATTTACATTATGATTCATAACAGTAGCAACATTACAGTTACGAAGTAGCAACGAAAATAATTTTATGGTTGGGTCACAACATGAGGAACTGTATTTAAAGGGCCAGAAGGTTGAGAACCACTGAAAAGGAATCATTCATTCTCCATTCCCTAGTGACACTGAAGACTTTTTTTTTAAATGAAGATTCCCACTCTGCATTACTTTGAGCGGCCATTGGATGTCAGTGCTGTTCCAAAAGCCTGCATACCTTAAAAATGGATTTGCAAAAATTCCCATCCACCTATGCCAGTTTTTACAACTGAAACGCCATTAGCCCCATGAAAGTGCAAACACACTCATTAGAAAATAGAAAACATTTGCCGCCCTAATCTGAAGTGATAACTGAGCCAAAGCACTGGAAGGAAAATTGCTCGTCAGCACTTGGCTTGCATATATTGTACTGTATCCGCAGCCTTAACTGAATGATTAATGTGAAATTTAAATTGGATTCCCCAGATCTTGTTTCCATCCGCTTTCTTCAGGCATTTTACCCCCGGATGCTTATTTTCCAGGGGTAAGAACGTGGTCCTGCAAATCGCTCCTTGGTTATAATGGACGAAAGAAGAAAGGAATGTGAGAGGCCCACGGCCATCACCTTGTAGATAAGCAAACGGAAACCCCCGTTTATCGGATTAGGACAATTTAGTTGCACACGTTATTGGGCGGAAAAGAAATTCCGACAAAGGGGCTCATCTGACTGTGCTTCCTGCGCAGCAGAAACATTTAAAAGCCGCAGAAGCCGTCGGCTTCAGAGCAGGGAACCTGAGGGAGGCCCTCGGGTTTCTCCGGTTGACGACGCGACACGCTAACAACTTCCCTCCAGCCCAGTGACCGCCGCCAAGTGAAGCAGGGGGCGCAGAATTCAGTAGAAACGCAACTCCACAGTGATCTCCCCAAACTTTTATTAGTAACCAAATAATTGACGGGTAGGCCCCCGAGGATCCGACACAACCAGATTCAGCCCCTGACCTCCGGGGGCTCCCAGGTTGGTGGGTCAGACACAGGATGACGAGACGAATACTGCAGGCATGAGCGCGAGCAGGAGAAGCCATCTAACCAAGACCAAGGTAAGAGCTATGACGTGACTACCCTAGAAATGCTTCGCCAACGCCAAGAAAACAAGCCGGGAAAACCTTCCCAGGAAATCCTGACAGGTAACTGGCTCAAAATTTGCGCCGGGATCTGCTTAGGTGTCGCGCCTTAACCCGGAAATACTGCCCCCCAGGAAAAGTACACTTGGCCTGTGGAAATACAAAAAACTACTTTCCCCATCCTGCATCGGTCAAAAACTCCCAGCAACCATTTCGCCTCTGGTTTCCTACCTTCTATGCCCCCTCCCCCACCAAACCACAGGCTAAGTAGGACTTCAACTCCCAGAATGCTTTTGAGCAAGGTAACTATGCGCATGCGTCGAAGAGGCGGATCCTCCATGCCCTCACGACCCCGCCTCTGTTCTACCGCCGCCATTTTTTCAGAGACTTTCATCCGGCAGCGACGGGGCTTTTTTTCTTAAAGGAGAAGCGACAGCTCAAAAAATTTTCCCCCTTCTCCCTCAAGACCTCGCAACGCTGGGGACAGAAAGGCCACATACAGGGAAGTGGGGTCTGGGTGGAGGTAGAAGAACGCCGGGGCTACTTCCGTGCCTTTGAGGAAGGATAGAAAGAGCCCTTGTGGCATTAGCGGATCCTTAGGGAGGCAGGTGCGCGCGCAGCCACTCCAGGGAGCGCGCGAGGCGGGGTAAGAGGTGCTTTTTTTCCCACCAACCTCTTCGCGAAACCGGCCCCTCCCCCTGCCCCTAGTGCGCGTGGAACTCCGGGGAGGGAAAGGTCACTAGGATTGTCGCGGGACGCGGCCGTTTAACGGTGAGAACGGGTGCGCGGGGAAGGAAACCTCGCGCGCTCCCTTGGAACTGTCCCCTGATTGGTTGAAGGAAGGGGAGGGGGCGGGAACCCGGTACGTCGCTGCGTGAGGGAGGGCGGGGCGAAGAAGCCATTCTTCCTCTCCGATTGGCTCGCGGAACGTTTTGTCGGGCGCGCGCGCGGCGCCAGGGGTAGGGGGCCTTGAGTGGCAGGGGGCGGGGGGTACGCTCTGAGCCGGGCGGAGGGGTGGGGGGGGAGAGAGGAGCGCAGAGTGAGAGAGTGCAGGACGCTCCAGGAGGCAGGGGGCGGGGGGAGCAGCGCCGCGGCCACCGCCGCCTCCGCCTCCACCGCCCGGGACGAGGGGGTGGGGGACGGGCGAGCCCCGATGCCGGGGGAGACAGAAGAGCCGAGACCCCCGGAGCAGCAGGACCAGGAAGGGGGAGAGGCGGCGGTGGCCGAGGCGGCTCCAGAGGAGCTCCAACAACAGCCCCTGGAGGCGGAGGCGGTGGCGCCTGCGGGGACCACTAGCAGCCGCGTGCTGAGGGGAGGACGGGACCGGGGCCGGGCCGCTGCGGCGGCCGCCGCCGCCGCTGTGTCCCGTCGGAGGAAGGCCGAGTATCCCCGCCGGCGGAGGAGCAGCCCCAGCGCCAGGCCCCCGGACGCCACGGGGCTGCAGTCCCAGGCCGCGAAGCCCGCGTCTCCAGCTCAGGGCAAGAAGAGTCCGCGACTCGTGTGAGTAACGCAGTCTTTCAGGCGGTGAGGTAGACCCCCCTGTGTCCGCACGCTCCCCTCTCGGCTCCCGTAGTGCCCACTCCACGTGACATCCTGCCTGCCCTGCCCCCTGCCGGCTCGCACGGCAGATGTCACGCCGCTTCCCTGGTGGCTGCCTTATCCTTCCTCGTTGTTCCCGAGTCTGCGGGGCCACTTCCCCACTCCGTGAAGTCGGCCTTTGTAGCAGATACCTCTTCCGCTCCCTCGTGACTCACCCTTCCCTGCCGTCGCAGGCTGATCCCGCACTCGGGCATCTGCATCCCTTTGTCAGCCTATCGCTTTCCCTCCGTGCGCGGCTCTCCAGTATTACATCACATCCCCATTAGGAAATCCACAGCGCGATCTTGCCTTCAAAAGGGGGTCCGTCCCCCACTCCCCTCCCCTTTAATTAGCTTAGGAGCCGGTTGTACTAGTAGCTCCATGGAGCTTTTTCTCACTACTAAGTTTTCACATTACTTTGTACACGTTTTAGAAATCTGGTGCTTACTAGCAGGAAAAAAACGTGACTTTGCCAGTTTTGTTAAATGTAGTCTTTCCTCTAGCAAGCTTAAATGGGTAATCTTTTTTTTTTTTTTTTTTGCCAAGTAACATATTTTATTGTTTGTTTTTGCATACGTTTTAATGTAGGAACTTCATCCTTAAAAATCGGACTAATCTGAAAGGAATGCCTTTATTTCCTAGAGATAATAGAGGAACGAGGAACATCAATATTTAAAGCTGTTTATTAAAATAACCTTCCTATGTTGCAGAAGCACACATTTGTAAATCCTAGAAGTTAATCACATTAGCCATCGAATTCGTGACTGATAACATCATTTGTGTCTTGACTTTCAAGTGAAAAAAGTTAGTAAAAGCAGGGAAAGTTGAAAAGGGGTAGGAATCAGAGTTTTAAGTCCCCCACTTTCCTGATAGAGTGAGGCAAGATGTGGTTTATACCAAACCCAGTAGATTTAAAACACACCTGTTCCAAAATAAGAGCAGTTACTATGAGCCTTATTTGAAGCTCAGTTTCTTGCGCAAATTTCGGAAACAGCCTGTGCCTCATTTTCCTCATCTATAGGCTATAATGTTAATCCTTATGAGATTAGTTTATGAGAATTAAATGCAGCATGTGTAGCACTTAGCACAGCTATTTTCAACCTTTTTTATATATCATGGTACACATAAATACTAAAATTCTGTGGCACACCAAAAATATATTTTTTGCCAATTTGACCAAATAAAATAGGTATAATTTTGATTCATTCACATCGGATGACTATTGTTGTGTTGGCTGTTGTCATTATTTTATTTAATAATCTAAGGAAAAAGAGGTCAGTGCCTCTGACTAGTCTGGTATAGCATGTTTTAAAAATTCTTGCTGCACATGGTTGAAAATCACTGACTTAGCACAAAGTCTGTTACATAGTGAATATTTATTAAAAGCTATTGTTTTTAATAGTGATGGCATGTAAAAGGTATAAGTGTGTAGGGGTGTATTTTCATGTAAAATTGAACTTCTTTATTTTTTTCCCTATTACCATACATAGGAAGGTAATAACTTAATGATTTTTAACATTCCCTTTTCTTCTCACCTACCCATTTGAGAGTGCAATATGCCTATCTCCTTGACACCTTTCCCCTCCTTCTGTTTCAACAGTTTTGCTTATAGAAATGATCTCTTAAGTTTAAGATAATTGTAGCTACAGTGGTGGTAGCTTTACCATAAAAGTTTATTTTTTCCCTGATTCTTGACCAAAAAGTACCAAATGAGTCTTTACTTCCACAATATAAATGTTACAACATTCAATCTTGGATAAGATTATTAAATTAAATCTTTTTTTCCTCCACAATATTTCTGTGGGGAAGAATAGTCTTAATTCTTAGTGTACCTCCCATAATTTTTTTGTTACACATTTTCAATTTGCTGCATGCGCTGGAAATCAAAGGAGTTTGGTAAACCTTGATTGAGTGGTAACTGGGCCTAATGGTGTGGTGAGCTAGAGTTTTTAAAGATAATGAACCCTAGTGCATTTGACTCAGTGGTAGAGCATCGACCTGCGGGCTCAAGAGTCCTAGGTTTGATTCTGGTCAAGGGCATATGCCTTGGTTGCAGGCTCCATCCCCAGTGCGGGAGGCAGCCACTCGATCTGTCTCTCTCACAATGATGTTTCTCTCTGTGTGTCTCTCCCCCTCCCTTTCACTCTCTCTAAAAAATCAATGGAAAAATATCCTTGAGTGAGGCTTAACCGAGGACCTTGCGGAATAAGAGGAAGATTCATTGATTAGTGGAGGTTTATAAATATGTGTCTGGATTATAGATGTTCAGAGTAATGAAATAAAATTTAAAACTAATTAAGTAGGATGTTTAATCTTTTAAGACATTTCAAGTATTTTGAGTTTCAGTTTTTCTAAACCCTGGTCAAGTGCCTTATGACCTTGATTCATCTCTGTTTTCCTAATAACATGACACATTTTTAAAAAATGAAGTAAGAAATTTAATCTTTCTATTAATTGTTTTATTCAGGTCTTTTTTCCATATCTCAACATTGCCCCCCCTATAAACTCCTGGTAATCATCTGTTTAACCTACATTTCTTTCTCATGATTGAAGAGACAGCAAAATGTGCAACAGCTTGAAAGGTCAATAAATACAGCAAATTGGATTGATTGAAACCTCTTTTCCTATTAGAAGGCAAAATAATATAGTGGCAGAAGCATTGGACTTAGAAAGTTTCAAGTCCCAGCTTTTTGCAACTCACTAAGTGACCTTGGACAAGTCACTTAACCTCTTTAAATCTTTTCATCTATAATTGGTAATTTATGATTTGTGAAATGAGATATATAGTTAGATGATAGGTTGCAGTTTTTATAAACTTTATTAAATTTATAGAAACTCCATTTGCATTGAAATGTTCAGAAGTTAATGAAAAGAATAGGAAATTTTTGTGAAGGGAAATAAATTTTCAGTGAATGCGCTCAAGAGAATAAATAAAAACCTAAAGCTAAGAAAAGATAAACCAAAGTTGAAGAAAGGTTTTATATCAGTACTTTAAAAATTAGGCTCACCATTTTCCGTATTTTAGCCAATAATTCCGAATCACTGTAGAAGAATCTGAGATAAAAATTTGTGCTTTAAGAAAGTGTGCAAGATTGTTCATTTAATTTTTTTTTCTTTCAGATGTATAGAAAAAGTAACAACAGACAAAGGTAAGAGTTGGTCATTCTAATCTCTAATGTACATTACACTGATAATTGTCTTATAACCCTATTGATAGAAAATAGAATTAACTTCAGCCGGATCATTTAAATTGTTCCCATTTAAAAGTGACTTTTATTTAGTTAAGAATTATTGGAATAGATAGAACCTATTTAGATAAAGGCAGGTTTAGGTAATTGGAACATTTTGACTTTATTTAGAAACCTAATAATGGGAAAAGCAGGTTATTTGATACCAATTTATTGCAGTTTTTTAAGCTTTCTCTCTCTCAACAAAAAAAAGGAATGATACACAATATCAGAGTAAAGTATAGGCAAAATCTTGATGCTGATAGAGGCTCAAATTATAAATGCAGCTTGAAGAATGTGGAAAAAAAATGTTCTAAGATGACAGCCTGTTGAATAATTAAATGAGGTCATTAGGTCGTTTCTCTTTAAAGAGTTTTACCAAACCAAATGTATATATTGAATATAGTCTTCTTATCTGAATTATGAAGGGAAGCTAATGTTCACTTTTCCTTTTTTTAACACTTTTTAAAGGAGACTTCATTCTGGCTTTGCAGATTGGGTTATTAAAATTGACCCTATTATGTTGGGCCAATTGCTCATTTGTTTCATTTTTTCTAGTCATTGACTGTGTTCCTTGATACTAAGTTTAAATGTATAGCATCCGTCTTAAAACTGGAACAGATATATTCTTTAAGCATTTTTTTAAAAGTATTTTTCATTTATCGTATCTGACAGGAATCTACTTAACTGAAGTGTGACTGGTTAATTTACTCCTATTCTCTCTCATAATAAAAGCGTAATATGTTAATTAGACCGGACGTCCTTCCAGACGAAGCTGGAGCTGTGAGGGGAGCCTGGGTCCCGGGTGCCTGCTGGCGGCCAGAGGGAAGCCGGTGCCCGCAGCCAGGGGAAAGAAGACCCATTCTTGCACGAATTTCGTGCATCGGGCCTCTACTATAAGAGTGTGTGTGTGTGTGTGTGTGTGTGTGTGTGTCAAGTTAAAACCTGGATCTTATGCCATTTTAGAGAATGACAATGTGTTAGACCTCAGTAACTTGAAGTGGTGGCTGTTTTGAAAATAATTAGATGTTAATGCTCAGGTTTCTTTTTCTCTGAATTTTAGATTCTGAGGCTAGTATTTCCATAGTATCAGGCAGAAGTATTTTGTATGAGGCAAATTTTTGTGTAGAATTTTTTATGTGACTATTTTGTCTAGCAAGTTTTGGGTTTTGTTACTGTTGCTACTTGCAAAATAGGGTATGTCTGCCAAGAAGGGAAGAGCTTGTGTTCATTTTGGAAATTTTGTGAAGTGGGGAAAATGTAGAGACAGCTGGCAATCAAGTATCAGAGCAGTTCTTACTAAAACAACAACAACAAAACAAAATTCCATCCTGCTTTTATCAGAGCTAAAAGTACTTTGTGTATCTAAAGAATATGTCTAAAAAATTTGGATTGCCTTGAGGATAACTTGGAGAGTGTGGTTGAAATTTTGAACTCTTGTTGGGAGATAAATTAATTGCTCTTTGTGTAGATGTCTTAAGCCAAAAGTTGGCAACTACTTAAACAGTAGTTGTGCAGCTGTGGAGAGATTAAAAACGGCATCATGGGTTATTTAATCATGATATTAATCCTACTCTAATCTACCAGTTAAATGCTCTGGATCTAGAGTTAGAGCTCAGGGTTTGAATTCAAGTTCTGTCTTTTATTGGAAATAATTCCAATGCCTAGCATCCAGTGAGCACTCAATAAATAGTAGCTGTTAAGTTTGTAAAATTTTGAAGAAATGGATACTCTTTAACTCCCATCTCCATCTCTTCATCATTAGTTTACCTATTACAGTAGCTTTTAACAGCTAGATCAGTGAATAAAGAAATGGAGAGTGTAGCAGTCACTTTTTTCTGTGCTGTTTAATATTTAGAATTCACCTCAATTCTTTCTCTTTTCCTTGTCTTTTAACTTCTCAAAAAGTTATTCTGTTACTCCAGAATAATTTTCATGTTCAGTCTACTGAATTTTAACTGAAGTAACTCATACTGATTCCAAAGGCAGAAGTTTTTAAAAACTTTGAACAGGTTGTGATATTTTCTAGAGGCACAACTCTTTGTTTTATTAATATTGAAACAACTCTACTGCACAATTTAAATTAGTGCTAAAGTTGGATTAGATATTAGTTTAAAAAAAATTCACTTTTCCTGACTTCTCTTAATACTTCTGAGGTTGTCTAATATTTCAATATGGACTTTACTAATTATTTATGGAAAAAATAGAGCTAATTATAGAAATACACAGAGTAGTCTGATCAGGTTTCAGAAACTCAAGTGTCTGACTGTTACAATAATGCTTATGTCTCAAATGGGTGACAGTACATTAGATAAGCATTTTATTTTCTCTGTTTCCTTCCTAGCCTTTTATCTTAAGATGGCAGAAACCATATTATTTCTCTCAGTGTGAGAATGATCTACTTGGACACCCTTGTTCCTTCTTAGGATGGCCCATATCTTTAAATCCTTTTCCTGGTTCAGACATCCAGAAGTACAGACATAACTCATTTATGATGTATCTGAATTGTCAAACAGGCTTACAAAGCCTTGATTATCAGCTCATTTCAGTTATAGGACATTATATAAATGAGTCTTTCTGTCTCTTGCCTACAAAGAAGTAACTATAACACTGTGCCAGTTACATTATAAGAACACTAGGGGCCCAGTGCACAAATTTGTGCAACTTAAAAGGAACTGGGCTGCAAGGCTGCGGTGGGCATAGGGGAAGGTCTTGGCCCATCCTCTGCGCCCCTGCCCGGCCCCTCCCGGCGCAGCTCCTTGTCCCCTGTCTGCTGGCAGCCCCACTCCCCACTGCCACCGCCGCCACTCCCTCGCGCTGGTGGCGCTGGCCCCGCTCACACCCTCTGACAGCACAGAGCGTTTGGGGCTGGCACCAGCAGCGGGTGTGAGCAGGGCTGGCGTTGTCGGGGTGTGAGTGGCAGCTGTTGCCCCGATCGCCCCTCAGGAGCAGGTGGAGATGGAGAAGCCCTCAGGGGCGATCGGGGCCAGCAGCCGCTGCTCGCACCCACGGACGGTGCCGAGCAATTGGGACCGGCACCAGGCACTGGCTGCAGGTACTAGCGGGCCGGTGCTGGCAGTGGGTGTAAGTGCCCAGTGGGACCGCAGCTTGCGGTAGCAAAGAATTTTTAGTAACTACCAGAGGCTTGCCCCAATGACAGCGACCGGCGCCCCACCTTGGTCTGGCGCCCTCACTCACCTGCTTCACCATCCTGCCATGGCTGATGCCCGCCATGTTCCACGCTCTGCTGCCTGCTGCCAATGCCTGCCATGTTCTGCACTCACCCCCTGGTGGTCAGTGCACATCATAGCCACCGATTGTTTGGTTGTTCCACCATTTGGTCTATTTGCATATTGGGGTTTTATACATATAGACTAGAGGCCTGTTGCATGAAGAGATTCATGCAATAGGCCTTCCCTTCCCCTGACTGCCGGCACTGGTTTTCCTCCGGCACCCGGGACCCAGACCTTCGCTTCTCCAGCCGGAGCCTTCAGTCTTCGCACCTATGTATGCAAATTAACCGCCATCTTTATTGGGTTGATTTGCATACTCTCCTGATTGGCTGGTGAGTGTAGTGGAGGGACGGTCAATTTACATGTTTGTCTATTATTAGTTAAGATTCTCTAACACAGCTATAAGTTTATTTTGTTATATATAGTAATTATTTTATATTGAAATTCCTTTCCATCCCAGAACTACTTGAGAGTTGCATCAGAATGCCCTGGTAGAAGAAAACTGAAGCAGAGAAAATCTAAGGTGCTGAATGGGGAAACCTATATTCAGTTAATAAGACTCTAAAATCCATAAGAGACATCCATCTCTACGTGAGTCCCTAATGTTATTCTCACACTGAGATGATACTGAGTGGACCAGAACCTCTGACAAAAAGAAATTAGCACTAATGTAATATACTCCCTGACATTTTAAGTCCAAGAAGGATCAAGCGCCTCTGAATTAAAACTAGCCAGATTGATTTAATTACATCTGGCAAGGACCCCTTTAGCTTCAGTACAGTTAATTCCCTTATGGGTGACTATGGATTAGTCTTCTGCCTGCCTACCTCATTAAACCTGCCTTGCTCCTTTGATCCTAGTTATATGCCCAATTTGTATCTTAACTTCTTATTGGCTGTTTCTGTTTGTAATTTTGCCACTATGAGAATTTCTAAACTGTTTTCTTTACTGTGACTCTGGGGTTGAGGGAATGGGTAAAAGGGGGAAGGGGAATATAGTTAATAGTGTGATGCTTACACATGACAGATGATTACTAGGATTAGTGGGGCAATTACATTGTAAGGTATAAAAATGTTGAATCACTGTATTATATATCTGAGACTAATATAACCAATATAAGATTGTACATCAACTATATTTAAATTGTTTTTAATTAAAATTTAAAAAAAAATTTTTTTTAATTTAAAAAAGATATAATTTCTCCCCATATCTATATATATAAAAGCCCAGTGACCATTGACGGCAGAACGACCAGAACGACTTGTCGCTATGACGCGCACTGACCACCAGGGGGCAGATGCTCAATGCAGGAGCTGCCCCCTGGTGGCCATTGTGCTCCCACAGTGGGAGTGTCTCTCAGCCAGAAACTGGGCTCTGCTGGCGAGCACAGCAGCGGGAGCCTCTCGCACCTCTCTGGCAGCACTCAGGAGCAGTGAGCCAAGTGGTAAGGAGCCAGCAGGCAGGTGGTTAGGAGCGAGGGGTCCTGGATTGCGAGAGGTGGCAGGCCGGGCTGAAGGACCCCCACCCCAGCCTCCAACAAAGGAATTACATGCATCTGGCCTCGAGTTCCAACAGGGTTTTTTCTGTGGAGAAATTTGAAAAGTTCTTGGGGAACCTCTGGAGTATACAACTTACACATTGAAAACTATTAGTTTACACTAATCAGGGAATTCCACCCTCTTTCTAAGA